CTGGGCATGGTGGCTTATGCCTGTAATTCTAGCACTTTGGGAGGCCAAGGCAGGTGGAGTGCTTGAGCTCAGGAGTTCAAGACCAGCTTGGGCAATATGGTGAAACGCCATCTCTACAAAAACAACAAAAATTAGCCAGATGTGGTGGCTACTGTAGTCCCAGCTACTCAGGAGGCTGAAGTGGGAGGATCACGTGAGCCTGGGAGGTTGAGTCTACAGTAAGCCAAGATCGCACCATTGCACTCCAGCCTGGGTGGCAGGGTGAGATCCTGTCTTAAAAAAAATAAACAAACCAAAACAAAACAAACAAACAAAGCTAGGAAAGGAATCTCCCCACCTTCAAAGTGATCATTATTTATATTAAGTGCCTCTCTTTAGGTTGGAACCTTTTTGTGACAGAAACTCTTAAGTGTGACAAAATTCCATGTGACTAACATTGAGCAAGAGAGACAGAAAAAAGCCTGGTGTAACATGTTGACAAAAATCTGTAAAAAATTACAAACTAATGTTTATTAAATTTTGAGCATTGTATTCTTTTTTCATAACTCTTCTGCATTTGCCTTTTTATTTTTATTCTACTCTCTACATTTGAATAGTGCTTTGCAGTCCACAAATGGTTTTCTGAACAGTATCTTATTTTTTTTCTCATTTTTTCCTCCTTATTACTGTCTATTACTGGTGCAATATAATATCTAGGAAAGGGGCTGGGCATGATGGCTCATGCCTGCAATTATAGCACTTTCCTGAGGAAGTATCTTGGGCAGATGAGGCAGTTATTTTAAAGATTTAAAAAATTAGAAACCTGAGGCTCGAAGAAATGTTTTATCTGAGGTCAAAGACAAGACGGTATATTCAAGGGTAAATGGGAGATCAGTGGTTTACCCTGAGCACTTTTTCAGGATGCTATAGCTACTGGTCGAAGCCTCAACTTCTTTCACCTGACGGTTGGTTGGTATCTTAACTGTGCCTTTTAGAGACTCACCTTGATGCTAGCACTTACCTGCTCAGTGAGACCCACAGGACTTCACCTGGGCACCCCCAACATTTGTCACCCCTTTTGCATAGTCCTCAGTATGGCCATATCCCAAGTACTTAGTACAATTCTGTTTCCAATATTGGAGCCACTGTTTCAGTTGTTTTGCATGCTTCAGATAGGAAGACACTGATCCCTTTAAGTAGGGAAAATTGTAGATGAAAGGGCTGTTTTCTTACAAACATGGATTTAAAGAGAAAGGCTGTGCGTGGCTGACACCTACTGGACAGAAAAGGTTATGGCATGGGGACATGCTGCTTGCAATCGTTAAACACACACACACAAACCCAATGCAGTCATGTTCTAATATTCCCTTACCCCACCCCCTACCTTGTTTTAGAGACAGGGTCTCTCTCTGTCACCCAGTCTGGGGTCTAGTGGTGCAATCACAGCTCACAGCAGCCTCGAACTCCTGGGCTTAAGTGATCCTCCCTTTTTTTTTTTTAAACCAGGTCTCGCTGTCACACAGGTTGGAGTGCAGTGGTGTGACCACAGCTCGCTGCGGCCTCCCAAGTAGCTGGGGTTACAGACTTGCGCCACCACACCTGGCTTAATATTCCCTTTCTGAAACAAGTTACACATGTCTGTTAATGCAAAGGAATTAGAGCACAAAGCTCATCCACTCTATTCCTGATTTTTTCCCTGGATCCAATAGACAGCACTTTATTCTTGCTTTTTGTAACAGAGCTGTGAAGTCTGAGGTTACCAATGAAGGACCCAAATCTCTCCCTGGAGTCAACTCACAATTCATGCTCTCACCCCACTCTTCTTCTCATATCTATGTGCCCCATACCTATGAGCTTTAGTCTGAAGCAGAAGGAAACCCTGCTTTAAAATAAAGCTAACTTTCTTCCCAGTGTCTCAGGGATGACTGCCTATGGTCAATTAGATGGGGGCTTCCTGAGCCAGTAGTTTTAGAAACCTTTATTTCATTAGAAAATGAAAAGCAGATAAAAATTAATGAGAAAAGAACAAAAAAATAATGTAAAAAGAAAAGGCCAAAATAGGTCAGGAAGAAAGAAGGATGAAATGAGGAGACTCGATCATTTATTAAGCCTTTTTAGTGTATGCTCTGTTTGCCTTTTGGGCATATTCATAAGTTCAAAGGAAGTTGTGTCGTCTAGGGTTTATGCAGTCCTGAGAATTTGGATGCAGCAGACCCTGCTTTGTTATGATGGTTAATTAATTCAGCTCTTCTGGAGATAATGATGAATCCTTGCTCTGACACCAGAGACAAAAATTCCAGCAGATTATTCCTCTGTCTGCTGCACTTGGTGGGATTCCATCGAGCCAGCCCAGCACCAGTGGGAAAGAAATAAAGAGGCACTCCCTGTGGTGGGCAAGATCTCCACATTAGCAAGCTCTCTGCATTTTCTTGAGTCCTTTGCTGGGCCCAATCTGTCATGGGGCCTTAACAGTCTTCCTTCTAAGTATTTAAGTGACTCCGGTTTTGAGTACTTAAATATAAAAACTTCAATTTCCTAACTGGTTTTCATTATGTTTAACAAAAATGAGGGCTCATATCTCTCTTTTTTTTTTTTTTTTTTGAGACCGGGTCTCAGTCTGTCACACAGGTTGGAGTGCAGTGGTGTGACTACAGCTCACTGCAACCTCGAAATTCTGGGTTCAAGTGATCCTCCTGCCTCAGCCTCCCAAGGAGTTGGGACTACAGGTGCACACCACCATTCCTGGCTAATTTTTAAAAAATTTTTAGTAGAGATGATGTCTTACTGTGTTGTCCAGCCTGGTCACAAAGTCTTAGCCTGAAGCGATCCTCCAGCCTCAGCCTCTCAAAGTGCTGGGATGACAGTTGTGAGCCACCATGCTGGGCCTCGGGTTTTTTAAGTTGTAGAATACAAGTTTCCTGAGGGCAAAGACCTGTTTTGTTCACTGCTGTAACCCTAGTACCTAAAATGGTGCCTGGCACTCAATAAATATGATTGATTGAATGAATGTATAAGTAAGTGTTGACATACATTATGCATAATAAATAAAATAATTACCAACTGACTCCTTGATATACCAACTAATTGTAGCAAGGTGTAGCCCTTGGTGCCTGTACATGGGCTGGACCACAGAAAGAGAAGAAAAAGACAATCAAGGTTTTGACTTTGAAGATTATTTTATATAGAACACAGATGTCAAGCAGGCCCTTAACACTGCCAGCAATTCTACCACCATCTTGTAGTTAACTGATCTTTCCACTTACCTGCTCCTCTCTTCAAACCAATACCACACCCCAAATCTTCACTTCTAGTTGACATTTTTGACTATTGTTTTGTGGAGAAAATGGGAATTAGTAGAAGAGAACTTCCCCATGCTCCATTTACTATATCTGTCAATCTACCTGTAGCTTTCCCCATATACTCCGCCTTCCCTCCCGTTGAAATGAATGTGCTCTTTGTGTTCCTATGTGTGCACTACCTTCCCTGTCCTATCTCCCTGCTCAGGGACTTTGCTCTTGAAATTATTCCCTTCTCTCCTGCATCATCAGTTTTTCACTGTCTTTTGGATTATTTCTATCAGCATATAAATGTGCTGTAATCACTCCTACTGAAAAATAAGCAGGCTGGACTGGGTGGCTCACATCTGTAATCGCAGCACTTTGAGAGGCCAGGGCAGAAGGATCACTTGAGTCCAGGAATTTAAGACCAGCCTGGACAGCATAGCAAGATCTTGTCTCTACTAAAAAAAAAAAAAAAAAAAAAAAAAAATCAGCCGGGCATGGTGGTACATGGCTGTAGTACCAGCAACTCAGCATGCTGACATGGGAGGATTGCTGGAGCCACGGGGTTGGGGCTGCAGTGAGCCATGTTCATGCCACTGCACTCCAGCCTGTGCAACAGAGTGAGATCTCATCTCAAAATCTGTAACAAAATGAACAGAACTTCCCTTGATGCTACATTCCTTTCAGCTACCACCCAACTTCCCTGCTCCCGTCTCCACTTCCTCATCTCCATTGGTGCTTGAATTTACTACCTCAAAGCTTTTGTTCCCATCACCTGGTGGAATCCATTCTTGTCAAGGTCGCAAACAGCTAGCCTTTTGACTTTTAAAATCATATAATATCATTTTTGTTTTGTTTGTTTTGTTTGAGATGGAGTTTCATTTTTGTTGCCCAGGCTGGAGTGCAATGGCACGATCTCGGCTTACTGCAAACCTTCGCCTCCTGCGTTCAAGTGATTCTCCTGCCTCAGCCTCCCAAGTATCTGGAATTAAAGGCACCTGCCACCATGCCTGGCCAATTTTTGTAATTTTAGTAGATACGGGGTTTCACCATGTTAGCCAGGCTGGTCTGGAACTCCTGACGGCAGGCAATCCACTCCCCTCAGCCTCCCAAAGTACTGGGATTACAGGCATGAGCCACCAAGCCTGGTCTCATGTACTATAATTTAAAAATTAAAAACAAAAGAGAAAAATAAGTAGCAGACAAGTACTAAATAAAAAATGGCAGCAATGGTATTATCAGTCACATTAGAATTTAAGGCAAAAAGCATCAATATGTATAAAGGAAACCAATATAAAATAATAAAAAGGACACTCAAGAAGATATGATTATGCTGAACTTCTATGTACCTAAAAATATCGCTTGAAATATATGAATAAAAAAATTGATAGATTTGCAAAACAAATTTGAAAAATTTGCAATCATTGGGAGAAATTTTAATGTATCTCTATTAGAAGCTGATAAATCGGCCAGGCGCAGTGGCTCATGCCTATAATCCCAGCACTTTGGGAGGCCAAGGTGGGCAGGTTGCCTGAGCTCAGGAGTTTGAGACCACCCTGGGCAACATGGTGAAACCCTGCCTCTACTAAAATACAAAAAATTAGCTGGGCGTGGTGGCACACACCTATAGTCCCAGCTATGTGGGAGGCTGAGGCATGAGAATCACTTGAGCCTGGGAGGTGGAAGTTTCAGTGAGCCAAGATCATGCCATTGCACTCCAGCTTGGGCTACAGAGTCTCAAGAAAAAAATGCCGGTAAGTCAAAACAGGCCAGAAAAATTAGTTAACAGATAAAAATATTTGAACAACAAATTAGCAAGCTTGATCTAACAGATTTCTAAAGAACCGTGCATTAAAAAATAGAGACTATACATTCTTTCCAAGTAGGCATGGTATATTTTAAAACATTCTGATTTACTAGGTCACAGAGGAACTCTATAAATTTCAAAGATGTGAAATTATACGTCACACAGATTCTTGGGTCACAATGCAATTAAATTAGAAATGAACAATTAAAACAGAAAAGAAGGTAAAGACTTTTGGTAAATTTGAAAATGAACTAAATAACTCAGTTAAATAATAATAATGGAAATTATGAAATAACTAGAAGTTAATTGACAATGAAAGTATGTATATAGGAGCCAGGCGCTGTGGTGCATGTCTACAGTCAGTCCCAGTTATTTGGAAGGCTGAGGTGGAAGGATTGCTTGATCCTAGGAGTTCAAGACCAGCTTGGGCAACATAGCGACACTCTGTCTCTAAAGAGGCAGAAAGAAAGAAATAACTGCATTTAAAAACCCATGAGATGCAGCTAAAGTAGTATTTTGAGGTAAATTTAAAGTCTTAAAGATTTAGAAAACATGAAAGATTTATAATAATAAAATTAAGCCCATCTTCACCATGTCTCTTCTGTCTACCTCTAAGGCTTCAATCGACTTTGTTCCCATTATTTACCCTCACTGCTCTAGAACCAATGGTCTTGGAATGCTCTTCCTTCATTATAGTCTCATTTCTATTCAGTAATTCAATTTAGTGCTAATTCTCCCCCATTTCATGCACTAATCTCATGAGCTGAGTATCTTCTTCCAACACTCCCGGGACCTCCACACCTTAAATGAAACCTGTGCTTTCCCGACAGCACATCCACCCTCCTAATACTCAGTAGAGATGGGTCCTTGCCCTGTTCTGATGGCGCCTGGAAGGATGAAGGGACTAGCATGTATTGAGCAACCACTATGTGCCAGACGCTTCATGGAGCAAGGCATTCCATCATGTTTAATCTCATTTAACCTTCCAAACAACCTTTCAAAGTAAACAGTGTTGTTTTGCATTTTACAAAGGAGGAAACGGGTTCAAGATTACGTGACTTGCCGAGGACACACACAATGGCAGAGCTTTAATTGGACTCTAAATCTTGATCGACCTCACGGCATTTGTTTTTTTCACTGTGCCATGAGGGAGAAAAGGTACAACATTCTTTTCTATGATCACATTCTTTTCTATGGTCACTTGGTCACATCCTCAATTGCCGCTGTCTACTGACGTCTGAAAACTTCCTTACGAATTGGAGCACCTGGCTTAGCATTTACTCTCCAAACCAGAGACTAGACACATAGCCACCATGGAAAAGTGCCTTTTACCCGGTGCTGAAAATTTATTTCTGTGTCAGGAAATGGGTGTAAAATATCAATAATCAAAAAAAATATAAAAAGATTAAAAAAAATGTATTTCTGATTGTAACTACCAATCCTTTGAGTACACCACTATCTCTTGTCATTATTCTTTCTGCTCTTTCTCCAGCCTCCCCATAAACCCCATTCTTCACTCTGAGGCCTGAGTAATCATGCCAAAATGCATGGCCCAACCTCTGGCTGGCTTCCAAGCCCACTCTGCGTCACTGCTGCTCTCTGTGCCACAGCCACACCAACCTCCTTTCAGTCCTCAGATGCACCTCCCAAAACGTTTAAAAAAAAAAAGAAAAAAGAAACTAGGGCTTGTTCTGTCAAATGGTCAGGAGGGCAGAGGAGTGATCATAGCTCATTGCAGCCTTGAATTCCTGGGCTCAAGCAATCCTCTTGCCTCAGCCTTCTGAGTAGCTAGGACTACAGGATTGCACCACCATGCCAGGCTAATTTAAAAAATATTTTTGGCCAGGCGTGGTGGCTCACGCCTGTAATCCCAGCACTTTGGGAGGCCAAGGCGGGTGGTTAATGAGGTCAAGAGATCGAGACCATCCTGGTCAACATGGTGAAACCCCGTCTCTACTAAAAATACAAAAATTAGCTGGGCATGGTGGTACGTGCCTGTAGTCCCAGCTACTCGGGAGGTTGAGGCAGGAGAATTGCTTGAACCCAGAAGGCGGAGGTTGTGGTGAGCCAAGATCACGCCATTGCACTCCAGCCTGGGTAACAAGAGTGAAACTCCATCTCAAAAAAAAAATATATATACATATACACATATGTGTATATATATATATATATATATATTTTTTTTTTTTTTTGTAGAGATAGGGTCTTGCTATGTTGCCCAGGCTACTCTTGAACTCCTGGTCTCAAGCAATCCTCCTACCTAGGCCTCCTAAAGTGCTGGGATTACAGGCATGAGTCACTCTTCCAGAGCTCAAGGGACTTTTTTGTGTATGTCCATGCTCTTCCTTCTGCCTAGAGGCTTCTCTTTCCTCTTAGCCTAGTTCACTGCCATTCTGATCTAGCACAAGTGTTACTTCCTCAAAGAAACACCCCCACACCCCATTCCTGGCCCTAGGTTGTGTTCTTCGTTTCAGAACCTTCACTTGTGATTGTACATGAATCACACAGTATCTATATTAACTAGAGTGATTTTATGATTAATGTCTACCTTCCCAACTAGGCTGCAAACTCCATGAGTGCAGGGACAATGGCACTTTTTTGCTCACTAATGTCTCCAGGGCCCAGTACAGGGCCTAGGACTAAGTAGGTACTCAGTTTAAAATTGCTGAATGAATGAATATAGGACATGTATGTGGTGAAACTTGGTGGACAGTTGGATATATGGTATTCCTAGCCCAGGGGAAAGACTTGGGCTAAAAAACCAGATTTAAGAATTATTAGAACACAAGTGGTCACTGATGTTATCACCCAGAAAGGGTGAGAAAAATATAATGAGTAGCTGGGCACAGTGGCTCACACCTGTTATCCCAGCACTTTGGGAGGCTGAGGTGGGTGAATCTCATGAGGTTAGGAGTTTGAGACCAGCCTGGCCAATACAATGAAACTCTCTCTCTACTAAAAATACAAAAGCCCAGTGCGGTGGCTCACACCTGTAATCTCAGCACTTTGGGAGGCTGAGGTGGACGGATCATGAGGTCAAGAGATCGAGACCACCCTGGCCAACATGGTAAAACCTCGTCTCTACTAAAAATACAAAAATTAGCCAGGTGTAGTGACAGGCACCTATACTCCCAGCTACTTGGGAGGCTGAGGCACAAGAATCACTTGAACCCGGGAGGTGGAGGTTGCAGTGAGCCAAGATTGTGCCACTGCCCAGCCTGGCAACAGAGTGAGATTCCATCTATAAATAAATAAATAAATAAAAATACAAAAATTAGCCAATGTGGTGCCATGTGCCTGTAGTACCAGTTACTTGTGAGGCTGAGGCACGAGAATTGCTTGAACCCGGGAGGCGGAGGTTGCAATGAATGGAGTTGTGCTACTGTACTCCAGCCTGGGTGACAGAGCAAGACTCTGTCTCAAGAAAAAACCAAATAAATAAATAAAATAAATTAATTAACAAAATGAAATAATAAAAAAATACAGTGAGAATACAGCGAGAAGAATACAGGATCCAGCTCAGAGCCCTGGACATGTATCAGTCATTGGGTTTAAAGCCAAGCTCTTCTCAGTTCCCTGGCCAAAGCTATTCTTCCTCCTGTGCTCCCCATTTCTATGGGCCATGGCCACAGCATCATGCTTTCAATCATCCAGGCTGAAGACTTCCTACTTTTTCCTTCCCTCTTCCCTTTTTAGCCCCATATCCAATTAGTTACCAAGTCCTATTGGTCCTACCTCTGAAAATTGTCTCACAGCTGTTTTCTTCCCATCCCATAGCTGCTGCCCTATTCCAGAATTATTCATCTCTCTTTGATCTCATTACAATAGCCTACCATCTAATTTCCCTGTCTGTGACCCTCCATCCCTTCATTCTGTCCCCAGAGTTCTGTTTTACAAAACATGGGTTGCTCATATTTCCAAACTGCTCAAAAGCCTTTGATGGCTCCCCATTGTATAAAGTGGTAGTCCCTAAGACTAGCTGAGTATGCATCACAATCAGCAGAGGAAGTTTGAAAAATATACTTGGGATGGGTGTGGTGGTGTGCACCTGCAGTCCCAGCTACTTGGGAGGCTGAGTTGGGAGGATTGCTTGAGCACAGGAGTTTGAGGCTGTAGTGAGCTACAATCATGCTATAGCACTCCAGTCTGTGCAACTGAGCAAGACCCTGTCTCAAATAAACAAATAAAACCAAAGCCAACCAAACACCCCCCCCACAACCTTAATCTATACCTATGTGTGTGTGTGTGTGTGTGTGTGTGTGTGTGTGTGTGTGTGTGTCTGTGTGTGTGTATATATATATATAGCTGACACGGTCAAAGTGCTCAATAATTTCTCAGGTAGGCCTTCTCCAGTGGTACTCTTTGGTAGCAACTTCATGCAATTGTCAATCTTCATTTTACCCACAAAATTACCCTGAAATTTCAGGGTAATTCAGTGGATCTACCTATTACTTGGATTTATTTATTGGATTTACAAATCCAATAAATATATACTTTATTTTATTTTATTTTTTCTTTTTGTTGTCTTTGTAGACTTTATTTTCTAAGCTAGTGGTGAGAAAATAACCACCAGGATAGAGGCTTGGATGGAGGCTTCAATCCCTCTCTCCAGTTTTTGTCCCATAACATCTTCTTTTCTCGATCTCTTGACCTCGTGATCCACCTGCCTCGGCCTCCCAAAGTGCTGGGATTACAGGCATGAGCCACCGCGCCCGGCCCTTTTCTCTACCATCTCTCTTGATGTCCCTCAGCCACGCTGGACTACCCTATACTTTTCCGTATTAACTTTTACTTACCCATTTCCTCTGTCTGGATTGCCCCTCCCATCCATTTCTGCAGAATGAAACTTTCACAAATACCTGGGCTTCTAGGCAATGAGCCTGATCTCTCTCTTCTCTGTACTCTCAAAGGTATTTCATACTTCCTCAGGAAGACTTCCCAAATTATATGCTCTCATAGTTCCTGGTGTTTGGTCTTTTATGACAGTACTTAACATATTTAATGGTTATATATTTATCTGTGAGATTTTTAAAAAATATTTATCTCCTACTATACTAGAAGTGCCTTGAAGGCAAGAGCCATATCTGTTACCATGTACAGTTGATTCATAAAATGGTATTATTTGTTGATTGGATGAATTAACATTTCTGAAATTATTACATATTCTGCTTTGTAGTGTGTGAAATAAATTGTATACATATTTGGATTCCCAAATAGGGAATAGGTTTCATGTCTTTGCATCCCACCCCTACCCCTACCTAGTTGTGTGCTTCAGATACTGTGGGAGCTTAGATAAAATTGTCCCACTAGAACCCTAGAAGAATGTAAACTCTAGGAGAGCCAGGACTTGTCTTCTTCCTTACACTATCACCAGTAGTTAGAACTGTGCTTGGTCCATGACATTTGCTCAGAAAATATTTGTTGAATGAAATATTTAATTGTTAGATGAATCTTTTTCCTAGGGTACCCAGTATTGGCAACTTTACATAACTACCAATCTTCTTCATTGTGTCTCCAAGCTTCTTTTATTCTTGAGATGTATTCCTGTTTGAGTGTGCTAAAATGCATCTGGAAGTGGGGTAAGTTTCTCCCTGATAATTTCTTTTCCTATTCCATCATTCATCAAATATTTACTAAGCACTTTTCTCTCTCTCTTTCTCTTTCTGGCCAGGGGTGGTGGCTCATGCCTGTAATCTCAGCACTTTGGAAGGCCGAGGCGGGTGGATGATCACAAGGTCATGAGATCAAGACCATCCTGGCTAACTTGGTGAAATCTTGCCTCTACTAAAAATACAAAAAATTAGCTGGGCATGGTAGCTCATGCCTGTAGTCCCAGTTATTCAAAAGGCTGAGGCAGGAGAATAGCTTGAACCTGGGAGGTGGAGGTTGCAGTGAGCCAAGGTCACGCCATTGCACTCCAGCCTGAGCAGCAAGAGCAAAACTCCGTCAAAAAAACAAAACAAAAAACAAAAAACAAAAACCTCACAAATAGTTTCTAAATTCTGGAGAAAATCAAGTAGAGAGAAACAAATATGCTCCAAATTTTGTTCATGGGAGTATACTAAATTGTTGAAAGCTGTCAATAGCTCAAAAGAAAAGTTTTAAGACTCTGAAAAACAAAACAAAGGATCAGCAACATTTTAAGCAAAAAGTCAAAAGATTAGTTCAGGCCATGCAGTTAATTCCTGTCCTGCTTGATATTCATGAACGTTTTAGCTCTCCATGAGTCCTGAAAGTTTTTTTCTCTATTCTGATGTCACAATCTCCAAAGTTATCAGAAGCCTGCATTCAAGGACACCTGTTAGAGTTTAATAGCTAATTATAAAACCACCTTCTAAAGAGAACCAAAACAAGACAACAATTGTCTGTGGATGACAGAAAGTTTTCAGGGCAGCCATAGTCAAAAACACAATTGACAAGGAAATTTGTCACCTCTGTGACATGCAATAATTTTAGCATAACATTTATTGTTGCTAATAATGTACACTAAGTTACATTAGAATTAGAAGTTTCTCATAATTTTGGAACACATACCAATAACATTTATACAAATATAGCTCAAAGAAACCAAACACCATTTCATGTTTGACAACGCTTCCTGTATAATTCTTTTCTTTTTTTTTTTTTTGAGACAGAGTCTCGCTCTGTCACCCGGGCTGGAGTACAGTGGCCTGATCTTCGCTCACTGCAACCTCCAACTCCATGGTTCAGGCAATTCTCCTGACTCAGCCTCTGGAATAGCTGGGATTACAGGTGCACACAACCATGCCCAGGTAATTTTTGTATTTTTAGTAAAGACAGGGTTTCACCATGTTGGCCAGGCTGGTCTCCATCTCCTGACCTCGTGATCCTCCCACCTCAGCCTCCCAAAGTGCTGGAATGACAGGCATGAGCCACCATGCCCAGCCTATTTCTCGGTTCTCTATTCTGTTCCATTGATCTATGTACCTATTTTTATGCCAATACCACGCTGTTTTGGTGATTATGGCCTTATAGCATAGTTTGAAATCAGTTAGTGTGATACCTTCAGATTTGTTCTTTTTGCTTAGCCTTGCTTCAGCTATGCAAGCTCTTTTTTGGTTTCATATAAATTTTAGAATTGTTTTTTTCTAATTCTGGGAAGAATGATGGTGGTATTTTGATAGGGATTGTGTTGAATTTGTAGATTGCTTTTAGCAGTATGGTCATTTTCACAATGTTGATTCTACCCATCCATGAGCATGGGGTGTGTTTCCATTTATTTGTGTCATCTATGATTTCTTTCAGCAGTGTTTCATACTTTTCCTTGTAGAGGTCAACAAGGACTTTAAAAGATACTTGGATATAATACCTTAGTTTAAAAAAAGTTTTATCTCAGTTTTTTTTCTTAAGCAAACCAAAAGTTAATAATAATATTTGGACTTTCTGGTTTGTCCTGAACATCCCTCCTTCTTAAACAACAAGTCGTTTTATTTTAGCACGAAAAATTTGCCATATAAGATTCTTTCTCATATAAAATTATTTCTCTTTAAGTTTTCTAACCACACACACACAAAATCTCTTTATTTTCATAACTTTCTTTATATCTGTTTTTATTTCCTGGTTCTTTTTACCTTGTTTTATACATAACCTTTAAATAAGCTTTGAATTAGACAATAATTTTTCACCTTTTTTTTAGTGAGAATATTTTCCTAAAATATATATTTGTTGGAAAATACTCAAATAATAAAATACCTATTATTTAATTTAACTTTATTTCTAATTTATGACTAGTTTGTTTACAAGTATTTATCTCATTACATTTACCTAATTATTTTATTTTAATTGTTTACCTAGATTATTTATGAAAACTGTGATAGTCATGATTTAAAGTTATGAAACTGCCATTGCAAAATTATAACTGAGACAGTAAAAAAAGATTTGACCTAACTGACTTCATATTGCTGTTGACCTCCAAGCTGTCCTTGTTCATTCCTGGGCACAGGCCAAACTAACTTTGGGAGGAATTTAGTTTATTGTTTAGCTTTGAAACAAAGATGATAAACAAAGTTTAGCTTTGAAACAAAGTCCTTTCCCAAAACAAACCTACTTATTTTCTGTCTACCAGACTGCCTAAAGCCACAGGATTAGAAGTTATGGTAATCGTATTAAATTCAAAATGCAGCTATTTTTATTAAACCCATATCAATGTCTTATTTGTTAAAAAACACACAAACATAGATCATTCTGTTTTGGCCTGAGTTTATAGTTTTGTAACCCCTATGCCAAATTTTGACATCTTACAGTATTTGGCTGGGACAAGTATGAAATTTGCTTGATTAATAAATGCAAATCAAAATGTGTGCTGGCAATTCTTAAGACAGTTCTAATAGTACTTTACCAGTAATTTTAAAGGTAGCTTATTTATTAAAGACTTTACTTATTACATAAACTTTAAAAAGCATTTGACTAGTCTTTTCTTTTTTAGTATCTAAGTGCTTTTATTTTTCTTTAAGCCAATTAATTAGAGCTCTTTTATATATTTTTGGTAGTGAAACATTTTGTATGCAACACATAAGTACATATAAAGAGGTATCAGGCATGCCGATGAAAGTACATTTTATAGATTTATAAAGACCACCCCATTTTTCTTTTTTTTCCTGTTTTAGACTTTCAAATTATTGATAACCAGTTTTACAACCCTAGGCAGTTGTCAGCTAAATAGCCTTAAATTTGCACATTAAAAGAAAAAACTCAGGTGAAAATCAAATAGCAAAATTTACATCATGAGGTACACAGAGAAAAAGTCTGGTGGTGCTAGAGGGAGACACTTTTATTTTTCTTTGAGCCAAATTAAACATAAAATTAAACTACACTCTGTCTTAAAAACCCAATAGTAGCCTCTTTTGCAATAACTATTTTAATCCCTCCCAAAAAAAACCCCCAATCAGGTAAAAACAGTATTCAGATAACTGAGAAGAAAAAGAAAAAAAAAAAACCTTTTGTTAAAAAAAAAAAAGACATGATCTTAGGAGAGAAAAACAACAACAATGAAAAACCAAAAACATGAAGGCCTTTCAAATACAAACATGGACACATGCACACACACACACTCAACTTGGGTGTGTTACCCTTTTAATTAAACTTTTAACAACATAGCTCAATGGTTTAATTTATTTTCCTTTCACAATAAGGGCAACCTGGGCTCCTTGGAGAATGGTTGATTTTAGAGCTAGGGCAAGGAAAGCACAAAATGAATCTGACACATTTCTTTTCTTTTTTTTTTTGAGATGGAGTTTCGATCTTGTTACCCAGGTTGGAGTGCAATGGCACGACCTCAGCTCACCACAACCTCCACCTCCTGGGTTCAAGCAATTCTCCTGCCTTAGCCTCCCGAGTAGCTGGGACTACAGGCGTGCACCACCATGCCCAGCTAATTTTTGTATTTTTAGTAGAGACGGGATTTCACCATGTTGACCAGGATGGTCTCAATCTCTTGACCTCATGATCCACCCGCCTCGGCCTCCCAAAGTGCTGGGATTATAGGCATGAGCCACCGCGCCCAGCTGAGTCTGGCACATTTCAAAAGACTTAGGAGTCAGCCGAATGTGGTGGCTCATACCTGTAATTCCAGCACATTGGATGAGAAGATCGCTGGAGGCCAGGAGTTTGAGACCCTGTCTCTCCAAAAATAAATAAATACATAAATTAGTACAGAGAGAAGGTGTGTGCCTGTAGTCCTAGCTGCTTAGAAGGTTGAGGCTGGAGAATCACTTAAGCCCAGGAGTTCAAGGCTGCAATGAGCTATGACCACACTGCACTCTAGACTGAGTGACAGAGTGAGACTCTATCTCTTAAAACACACACACAGACACACACAAATGACAGAGGAGTCAACCCGAAAGTACTCTTCCATGGCCAAAGCTGGAATAATTTGAGCAACAAAATACGTAGCATAGTATTGTTACAGGAAAGGGGTCTGGACTCAGACCCCAAGAGAGGGTTTGTGGATTTTGAGCAAGAAAGAATTTACGGTGAGTCCACAGTGCAAAGTAAGAGCACGTTTATTAATAAAGTAAAGGAATAAAACAATGGCTACTCCATAGACAGAGCTGCTGATTGCTCATTTTATGGTCATTTATTGATAATATGCTAAACAAGGGGTACATTATTCATGCCTCCCCTTTTTAGACCATATAAGGCAACTTCCTAATGTTGCCATGGCATTTGTAAACTATCATCGCACTGGGTGGGAGTGTAGCAGTGAGGATGACCAGAGGTCACTCTTGTCACCATTTTGGTTTTGGTGGGTTTTGGCCGGCTCCTTTACTGCAGTCTGTTTTATCAGCAAGGTCTTTATGACCTGTATTTTGTGCTGACCTCCTATCTTGTCCTGTGACTTAGAATGCCTTAATCATCTGGGAATGCAACCCAGTAGGTTTCAGTCTCATTTTACCCAGCTCCTATTTAAGATGGAGTTGCTCTGGTTCACACACCTCTGACAATATTAGATTATAATCCAATGTATAAAACGTGTAAAAATATCTAATATTAGATATAATCCAATGCGTAAAATATAGCTGTATCCATACTGATATAAACAAATGATTGACTAAATAAC